TTTTTTCCATTTCCAGTATTGAAAAATACATTTCAGTCCCTATTTCCACTTTCAATTTCTCATACCAGAGAAACAATGTGGTATTTAAGCATGTGTGTCTGATTTATTTCACTTAAGAGTATGGTCTCAAGGTGCATTCGTTTAGCTATAAATGGCTGAAGCTTATCCTTCTTTATGGCAGAGTAGTACTCCATTGTATTTTTTTTTAAATCGTTTTTATCCACTCATCAGTTGATGGGCATTTGGACTGTTTCCAAGATTTAGCTATTACAAACTGTGCTGCTATAAACATGCATTTTCATGTAACCAACTAAATTTTTACTGAACAAATTTATTACTCACATATGTAAATTATATGAATTAGGAACAATTCTATTACTGCTATGAAAATGTATCATTTTTTCAAGGTGGCTTTTCACATACTTACTCTTTCTATTTGCATTTATGTAAAAACATATCTTCTTGGTATCCTGATTTACTTGTTTTCACATTTGGAATCATTCCTCATAGAATTCCTCAGGAATCAATATTTTTTTTTTTAACTAGGAGTTGAACCCAAGGCCTCAGAACTACATTACAAGCCTCTTTCTGGAAAACACTGAGGCAGAGTCTCAGTAAATTTCACAGGATGACTGCATCCTCCTGACTTATGTGCCTATGCATCCAGCCAAGTACCAATAGTACACACCAGTAACTTCCTTTTTTTCTCTAATTATGGTTTTCTCCTGAACTTCAAAATTGTATTTTATGATAGTCATCAGGTTTCACCATAAAAACACCTTAAAGATAATTTAACACAAAACAACTAATTCAATTCAGATCTCTTTCTAGAGAAAATCTCTTTTCTTATGCTTTTAATCTCAGTTCCTAACAGTCATCTATTCAGAATCTTTGCAAGAATGCCTGAGTTTCACCTTCCAAAGTCTTTAAACATAAATACTTGTTTATTTTACCTTTTCTTTATCTTCAGAGATCATTTTATTTCTAATTTCACTATTTTAGTCAATAACACAGGCACAACTTTTCTAGATTAGTGTATGGAACCTTTGCATCTCCATTCCTTTTTACTGCAATATGTATTTCCCTGTTTTCCTCCGTCAGACATTGGAGAGCTAACTTTTGGCAGTAAGAGACCTCTGCCACTTACCCAGGGACTTCCTTTATTTGTATAACATCTGCAGGATTAGTAAACATAGACTTTTTGACTTAGAATTAAGCTCAATGGCACTATGCTTGCATCAAAAATGCAAAGTCCTGAGTTCAATCCTCAGTACCAAGAAATAAAAAATAAAACAAATTTTAAAATAAAATAAACATAGACTTTTCTTATAATTGCTGGATTTGATATGGTGTGATTTGATCTTCAATGTCATAAAAATGGAAGCAAATGTTCACCCCACAATATATTGCATGGCACCTTAAGCTTAGTTTAGAGAATAAAATAAAATAACTTCTAGATTTGGGAAATAGAATATTTCTTAAACAGGGCAGAAAGAAAAGTAATCATAGAGGCCAGGGATTTAGCTCAGTGTTGTCATGCCTGCCTCACAGCACAAGGTCCTGAGTTTGATCCACAATACCCAGAAAAAAAATAATTATTAAAATGATAAATCATGAACTTCTAATTATTAAAAATACCAAATTTAGAAAAAGTAAAAACATCATAGAATTTAGAAATATAGAAAAATATTTGCAATATGAATACATATATCTGACAAGAGTCATTCCTACCATAAAATTTCTATATGCTACTAAGAAAAAACAATATTATAAATATTAGAAAACATAAAAACAACCATTTCATAAGCGATGGCATCCCAGTGGCTAACATATATATGAAAAAAATGCTTCATCGCACTAAAAATCAATGAATTGCACGTTTAAACTACAGGGAGATACTACTATACTTATCAGAATGTAATGAAACAAAAAACTGAAGAGTCAATAACTATTAAGAATATTAAATACAGATCTCATATATTACTGGTAGACATGTAAATTCACAAAATTAATTTGCAAAATTCTCTAGGTTTTTTCATTAATTAAGCTAGAGTTATTACTAATATTAACAAGAGAATGAGTCCACTGCTGAGTAAATTATGATATGCATGCAAAGCATAGATGTTTGCATCAAAATACCCACACCACGATATTCACTGAAACTTTATTTGTAACTCCAAACATGAATCAACTGTTAATAAATAGCAAATTGTACAAATTGCAATATGCTTATTTAAAGGCATATCAATGAACAATAAAAATTAATGAAAAATATAGCATTGTGCAACTATATGAGTGGACCTCACATAGAAATTGTTGAAAAAAGCATACAAAAAAAACTACTTCATGATTTCATGTATGAATATACAAGATCAGATCATACTGATTAAATGCATGGATATCATAGTGTTAATGGTTAATATAACAGTACAGTATAACAGGTAGAAATTAAAAGGAGACAGATTGGGACTTCTGGGATTCTGCTGATATTCCTTGTATAGACCTTGGTGATAACTGTTGGAGTGAATTCACTTTATAATAATTGAGCTCTAGCACTTGTGTGTATTTTTTACAGATTCCTTTACTTCAATAAAAAGTGCAAAAATACACAACTTGATGTTAACTGGAAAAGACACACGTGAAACAGAATTGCATTGAAAGGTGGAACTTTAAAGGATGAACCAAGAAGATCTGGCACACAGATGCAATGAAAACTTAAAAAAAAAAAAAAAAAAAGGAGAGAGAGAGAATCCAATGTGGAAATCTCCCTATCATACAAATATAAATAACAGAATTCAAAAAAATGGAACTAAAAGAGTCTACCTGAGATAAATAACAGAGAAAAATAACATTTCTGAATGTTTCCCATTTTTAGACTTAGTTAGAAATGACACTTCCACTTTAAATAATACATTTTTAAAAGCATATAGTTATTACAGATAACCAAAGAAATGGTAGAAACCTCCATTTCTCATAAAATCCAGCAAACTAAGAAATTACACTTTTATAGAGGAAGACAGGAGAATAGGGAGGGGAAAAAGTAAAAATGATGAATGTAATTATTATGTATTGCAAATATATACTAAGAAAATGGAAACTAAAAGATCAAAGCAAAAGCAAATTGTTCACACGGTATTGAAATATGAGCTATTTGTATTATAAGTTGATAAGAAATGTGCTTATACACTGATGGTATTATAACTTAATATGATGTAGGAAGATCTGGCCACCAAAGTAAAGAAGTAATAATAAAAAAAAGGAGACACAAGTTGGA